AGTAAAAAAAGAAAACAACAAAAAGACAGGAAAAAAATAGAATGGGGAAAAAAAAGAAAAAAGTATGGAAAGATATTTAAATCCAGTTGTTTTTTTTTCAATTAGATTTACTTCCAATTTCATCATTTTTATTTATGATTCCATTGTTATAACTTTTTGGTTTTGAAATATTGAATCTATTTTCAAAAAACCTGCCAATTTCTTTCAAAAATTATTCAGATGACAACATTTTAAAGATGAAATTTAAAAAGATTTATTAAATAATTTTTTCACAAAATTTTATTAACTTAATTTTGCAAAACATTTTCATTTTGAACCATCCAGCATAACAAAAAAAGAAATCTGCCAAATAATCCTCTTCAATTAACTGTCTAGTTAAGATTTTATAAGATGATAACGACATAGTAAATCGTCGTAAAAATGTTTCGCAATATCTAATTGGACGGGAGTTTAATACAAAAATGAATTACAGCCTCTGATTGGCTGGACGTAGATCGTAAACACGCATTTTGCTTCTTTATTGCGCAATTATGCCTGGTACAAAGTGATAAAAATGACATAATTATCATTAAAAAAAACTAGTTTTTTCATAATTTTTCAAGTTTTCCCTTCTAGATGTTTGAGTCACATGAAGTAGTTGAAACAGTAAAGTTGTTTAGCTTAATAAAGAGTTACACATCAAGGTTTCTTAAATTAAAGAGTTTAAAAATAAAAATATACTTTTATTTTTTTATTAACAATTAAAATAATTATTATTACCGTTTTATTATTCATAAAAAACATAAACACGATGAAAAATAATCTTTATATTTATAATACAATCGTTTTTATCATCCCATAACAATAATTTTCCATAAATTTTCAAATGCATACATAATTGAAAAAGAAGTTAATTTGAAAAACGGTTTAATTTGGCCAAAATAGTGCGAAATTAAAATAAATTGAACGTACTTTTTGACAGCTTATTTGTTTGCTCTTGTTTTTTTTGTGTTTTTTTTTTTTTGCTAATCACAGAGGACAACGACTTTGAAAAACAACTGGATAATAAAAACAAAAAAAAATAGCTAAACACACATAATGCACACGATGGAAATACGTAAATAAATTAAATGGAACGCAAACGCACTTGAAAATACGCCAGTACATTTTAAAATACTCAACCACAGAAAACCGAAAAATTTAATTTTTAAAATACATCACAAACATCCAGAATTTTACCTTTTTATAAAACATTATTTTACTCACGTAATACTAACTCTATCAAAGTGTTGTAATGAACGTAGTAGTAATATTGATAATAATACTGCGAAGACATTAAATGGTAGTAAGATTATTTAATAATGTACTGTCAATGTTTATATAGTCTAGATGGTTTCACTGCATTCATCCTCACGATTCTTCTGGTTGATGGGAAAGTTGTTGTTGATGATGTTGTTGATAATGTTGTTGTTGTTGTTGTTGTGTTGTTGATGATGTTGGTGTGCTGATGTTGTTTTTGGTGTGTTGGTGTTATTGTTGGAGTTGGGTTTATTTTATGTTGATGTTGTTAAGGATTTTGTTGTTGTCGTTGTGGTTTCCAAAGTTGGAGTTTGCATGAGTGGAATTTCAGCGTAACTGTTATGGATGTAGTTTTTTTTTTAATTTCGTTGTGGCGTGGCTCGATTTCGAAGAGATCCCTGACAATTACACGTGTCTGTGTGCGTGTTTGTGTGTATGTGTGTTCGAAAGTGTGTGTGTCTGTCTATGTCTTTGTGCGTGTGTGTCTGTCTGTGTCTGTATGTGTGTTGTTAACTTGAAGAATTCAAAAAAAAAACTATTAAGCAAATGCTAAATAAATGTGGATTTTTGTCTATGATGACCCTGACATTATGATGACCTTGACATTATGATGACCTTGACATTATATTGCCCTTGATATATTTTTTAACGTTTTTTTAATATCGCTAAACGCATCTTTAATATCGTTAACTCATATAAGAGTGTAAACAAGAGACGGGTGACGTAATCTCGTACTTAATAATGAAATTGAATACGGAAGACAAAAATGTAAAAAAATGTGAAACGCGAAGAAATATTTTTTTTTTAATTAATGGAGTGTGTGCAATTAGGCTGATGAATGTCGAAGTGTAGCTGATGACGGTTATTTTAATGATCGTGGCTGATGCTAGTAATTTAAAAATTCTAAATATTATTATGACATGAATTTGAATCTACTTCACCGCTCTGTACTTCATTTTTTTTAAATGAGTGGTTTTTATTGACATTTCATTTATTGACATTTCTTTATTTTACCATTTTATTGTTTTAATCATTTATTGCCTTTGCTTTGAAAGAATTTCTTTTTTTTCTTGTTATTATTATTATTATATTTATATAATTATTATTTTTTAGAAATTATAACTCATGAATAATTTGTTTTTTTTTAATTTGTTTTTTAAAAAAAAGAATTAAATTCAGATAGGTCAAAGTTGATAACCATATTGCTTCTCGAATATTTTTAATGGCCTTTTCGCTGTTGCTTTTTTTAAATGTTGAGGTAAGATATGACAGTAATATTTAACGTTCAATCAACCTTGAATAGCGAACGAAACAATTCAAAATTATTTTCAAAATTAAAATTTTTTAAACTTTTAAATGCTGGTATTGTTTATGTATGAAAATGCGAATTGAGAAGAAAAATGTCAAAGTTAATGTTCACATTTTTCCGATTCAACACTGAAAAACTTCTCACACCATCGTCATTCGTTCATTTTTATTTAGCTTCCTACACTCAATCCTGTATATTTTTTTCTTCGAATGTTATAGAGGCAGTTCGTTGGACCCATGTGACCTATATTTCATTGATATCAGGCGTAGTCACTTCACTGGTTGGCCGTCCTATCGATAAGGATTAAAATACATTCGCACGCAAATGATGTGTATGAAGGTACACATGTACCAAATAAATGTGTGTGTTAGTGTACACGCAAAAAAATTGGTTGTGTTAAACAATGTAATTAAAACGCCAGTAACTTCAAAAATTTGTGTACCTAAATATTTTGTTACACATAAACCTTAGCAACTACAAAATTGTTTACAAAAAAATGCACACGCTCTCAAATAGCGTGTATGAAAGTACGATGAAATTACGTTGTGTATACGTACACGTAAGGAAGTTTGTGATGCCTAGGAACTCGCACACACGAATTACACGTAAGAGAAATTCAAGGACACATAGAGAGGTAGGCAGAGGTGTACAAGCAAACGTGTTTCATGAGCGTCTGCACGTGCAACGCTCTCTGAAAAAGCCAAATTTTCTGCATGGCAAAAATTTTCCTGGTTCGAGAAATTTTTTTTTCTATACAAACCTACCATTCATACAGCTACCACATAGAGCATATTAATGATACACAATATGAAATAATGATATACTTACTTGTAAAACTCATGCGGATAAAATTATCGTCAACATAAAATGTGTGGTGTTCCATAATTGAATGGGCCATAAAAACAATCAATAACATCCCTTGTCTTTGTTTATATTGTCATTCATTGACAACAACAACAACAATAACAACAACGACAACAACAACAACACAAACAACAAAAACACAAACAGCAGCAACAACACAAACATCATTAACAATAACAACAAAAACGCCATAAATAATTAATTTGCAATAATGACATTAATCACGTTAATATCATTAATTATGCAAATAACAATAAAATGTAACTTATGTAGCGCGGACGATAAAAAATAATTACGATGAGGGAACTTGTAAAATAGATAGAAGAGAACATGCTCAAATGGATAGTTAATAAAACCAAATTCATTATAGCATATAAAACCAGTTATAAAGTTGATTAAAGATTACTACTACTACTACCACTACTACCACCACCACTACTACTACTACTACTACTTCTACTACTACTGCTACTACTACTACCACTACTACTATTAGTGATTGTATTTAAAAAAGAAGAATAAAATAATAATAATTATTATTTATTAATATTTTATTATTATTAACATTTTTATTAATTTTATTATTTTTGTTATTATTACTATTATTAGCCTTTCTTTGTATGAGCTTGTCACGTAATCGTAGCGCGTCACTTTACACCTGCTCAAACTGATGAAGTAATGGTGATGATGATGAGGAGGAGGATGACGACGACGAAGATGATGATGACGACGATGATGATGACGACGTCGATGATGATGATGACGTCGATGATGACGCTGATAGTTGTGATGGTGAAGATGATGAGGATGAAGAAGAAGAAAAGAAGAAGAAGAAGATGATGATGATGATGACGCTGATAATGGTGATAATGAAGATGATGAGGATGAAGATGATGAGGGAGATGAGAGCGATGATACAAAAAAAATTTTCTGAAAACCACCAGACTGAAGAAAAATCGGCCATTAAAATGCAATAAAACAGGAAGATGATGTCTGCGGTAATGCCTCAATAATTGTTTTCAATTTCAAACTTTTTTCATTTTTTCCCCTTTTTTTATTATTTTTTCTTTGTTTTTATCAGATTTTTTTTTTATGTTTTCTTCAAATAGTTTTAATTGTGTTTGATTATTTACAATGAAAATACTACATATATCAAGGTCATTTGAATATTTTAGACATTTCACAGTGTTTTTTTCATTTCCAATTTGGTGTTTTTGGATTTGAGTGAATTTAATTATCTTCTTTGAAACAACTTCAAAACTTCATGCCACTATATTTGGTCAATTTCTTTCATAATCTTAATTATTCAAATGATTTCAACAACTTAATATAGAAATTCTAATGATACAAACAATGATAGTAAAATGGTTAAAGTGCCTGAAACTTTGTAGCAAGAACCGGCTTCATATGCAAAAGACTCCAGCCAATCATATGCAATGTTTGTGATTCCTTAATTCACATTCATCTGCAAATACTACATGTTTTTTGTTGGTTCTTCTAAAAAATACTGAAATGAAAATTTGACAAAATATTAAAAGTGCAACAAAACATGTGCCAAAGTCGGCAAGGCTGTAACATGGCGAATTTTAAGGAGATTTTAAGAGCCTGGTAATTGCATTTTTGATGACTTTTAAGACCTTCACGTCATCACAATTTCAGGGATGTGCTGTCTGTGATTGCTCAAAAAAAAAAAATGTTCATATCTCTCAAGCCGATGACATGATGTTTCTGTCACATCAATGCTGATTACTTGTATGATGTTGACGGGGTGAGGTTGTTTTGTAGGAGTAGGGGTATGGGATACGGGCGAAGATGGTCATGTAGATGGTGATGGCAGTTACGATGATGATGACGATGGTAGTGGTGGTGTGATGATGATAATGATAACAATTATGAAAATATAAAAAAAAGAAAAACAAAACTGAAAAAATATTAGATCAAATTAAACTGAAATGTACAGTAAAAAGAAAAAAGCATTTTTTCAATGCACTTTCTATTCCAGAAAAATTTTTTAACTAGTTCGTTCTCAGTGTTTTAAAGTTACTTCTACAAAGAACAAACTTAACGAAAATGAAAAACAATTAATTTAAATATTGAAAGTTTAAAATGTCTAATTTAATTTTTATAAGAATGTAATGGACTTTTATTTTTGGTACAATCTTTGAACTATTTCTAAATGCATGTTTTTACGACGACGATTTCAACAATCATTGAATTTATCATCATCATGAATATTAGATATCTGGATGTGTACATTTTTAACCTTAACGATACTTTGATCTATTGAGGTACAAAGTTTAGAGAAGTTTAAAAAAATAACAAAAATTTCAAAGAGTTACTTTATTTATTTTTTATTATAAAGTAACAAATTTCTTTTTTGAATTCTTAAAACAAAAAAATCATCTCGTCTAGAACGAAGGCTTGCAAAAAATTCATTCCTCAACCCCAATTAGCAAGTGCTTCAGTGCCATTTCAAATGTTTTGATACCTAGTATTTTTTCCTTAAGTATTTTATTTTCGTCTACTTTTTAGTAGAAGTTTTTAACATTTTTGGTTTTCTCAAATTTTCAAATTGATTTTTTTTTGAATAATCAATTTAGAAGTTAATTTTTTCTAATTCAGACTTAATATTTTTAATATCATTTTTTGCAGTTTTTCGACTTTAATATAGATTAAACTCTTCATTCCGTTTTTGTATAGGTTTAGCTTCAAATTAGAAGATTGGGTGATAAATAACTGATGTCTTACTGGGGCTAATAAGCTAATAAAAGGAGAAAAACAAAGTTGAACAGGCAGTTTATTCAGTTGCAACAGTGCTAATTAACACGCTCATCAAGTAGGCAGGGAGCAAAATATTTTTCATCATTCTCGTTCTTTCTTCAACTTCATGGTATTCGTTTAAACCAGCAACTTTGTCGTTGTCATTACCATTATTATTATCATCATTCTTATCATAATTTTTAACATTTTCCAATCACTATCAGTTTAATCAATAGCTTGGTCAATTTTATTGGCTGAATCATCATCATTTGTGATGAGATTTTTGGTCATCGTCATACTTATTTTCGTCATCGTTATCCTTATCAAAATTATTATCATCATCAGTAATATCATCTAAATCATCACCAACACCATCACCAGCTCCGTCATCTTCATCATAATGGTTATTTTCAAAGTCGCCATCATCATCAAGATTCTCAGCATCATCATCTTCGTCATCCTCTTCATCGTCATAGTCATTGACATTATTCTCATTTATCATAAGCCGTGAGATAGGGACGTTCAGACATTCATCATTCGCCAAACGTGCAATCGCTATCTTCGTCATCATTTTATCACCCCGTCTTTCCTATCATTATCATCATCATTATAAATCATCGTCATCATCATCAATATTTATCATTATCATCATCATTATAAATCATTATCATCATCATCAATATTCATTATCATCATCAATATTCATTATTATCATCAATATTCATCATCCTAATCTTCATTAACATTCATCATTATCTTCATCAATATTCATCATCCTCATCTTCATTAATATTCATCATTATCTTTATCAATATTCATCATTATCTTCATCAATATTTATCATTATCTTCATCAGTATTCATCACTATCTTCATCACTGTTCATCATCGTCACCATCATCTGAATTTATCATAAACGTATTTGTTTCATTATAATGCTTACCTGATTAGTTTTCATCATTCCATTTCAACATCATCAACATTGTTGAAAACATCATCAACATTGTTGAAAACATCATCAACATTGTTGAAAACTATCCTCTGGCTATTGATTGTAATTAATGAAACTTATTCAAAGTAATACACAGAAGTGCTATTGCTTCTATGGCTGTAAACCTTTACAAAATTGTCATTTATCTGGTGGAAAAAAAATGAAATAAAAGATGAATGTTTGAATGAATGGATAGATAAATTGATCGATGGAAGATTTAATTTATCCATCAATCAATCCATCTATCCATCCATTCATCCATAAATCTTTCAACCCATCTATCCATTTTTTCTTTCATTTATCTATCATTCTATCAATCAATCCAGCTATACATCTATTTATCCATCCATCGAATTTTCCAATTATTCATCCAACTATTCCTACTTCTATTTTTCAATCTATCTAATAATCCATCTATCCATCCATCCATCCATCCATCCATCCATCCATCCATCCATCCATCCATCCATCCATCCATCCATCCATCCATCCATCCATCCATCCATCCATCCATCCATCCATCCATCCATCCATCCATCCATCAATCCATCCATCCATCCATCCATCCATTCATCCATCCATCCATCCATCCATCCATCCATCCATCAATCCATTCATTCCGTCCGTCCATCCATCCATCCATCCATCCATCCATCCACCTTGCAGGTCAACCTATCCTGGCTTATCATCGTGTCATCTGCCGAGGATTCAAATGAGACTCCTGAGTCACATCTGCTTATGGTCCAGCGTCTGTTATTTGAGACTGCAAGCATCGGAGTGCGT